CAACGTAGGATTCGTGGCCGAGACCCATTAGACAGACGTTACGTGGCGTGCTAAAATTTAGATACAGCTCACATTTCTACTTAATCTCCTTGTAACATTGTGACATTATGAAAGTTTAAATAATTAGCTAAACAATAGCTTTCACAATAGTCCTTTACGTATATAATATAAGCGTGTTATTATAATGGAGCATCGGGTTGTAAAAATGTTTCTAATAGTCAAACGACCCTATTTAGCTAACTCGTAAATGTTAGCTTTGCGGCATTAGAAAACAAGGCTATAATATCGGTCCATTGTTGTTTGACCGTTATCAAAATTGTAAACTGAAGTTAGCAGACATGAAAAGGCTTTCTGTACACTTACCGCTCGCCGCTTGTGCACCATTAACTAGAATGAGAGGATCAGCAAATATATATATATATATATATCTATCTCTTAGATTTAATAGAGGGCTTTTAGTTGGCTCTCTGTGTTGAAATGTTTGGCAAATTGTTGAGAAGTCGCTCAATCACTTTATCTTTTGTCAAGATCCTGCATCGGTAAGTGCTCAGGGCGAACTAGCAACTTGATCTTGACCAACGTTTAACGTTGGTCTTCTGAATAGTTACCCCTACGGGAAAGTCATCTTAACAGGTAATTTATGATTCTGGCAGACAAAAAAAATCTTAACACAGCATGGCTAGCGCAAAGGCAAGTGACAAGATCGAGGCATCCATTATTATATCTGTCCTGGATTTGATAGATTTCCACAGGGAACAAGCGAAGTTCGGCACGTGCACAAGTTTCTATACGAAACAATACAGTAACTGTCCCATCAGAATGGAAAATAATGTATCGTAGTCTTACCAATAGCTTGCAGACAAATTCATCTTTATACCTAGCATGCTTAATATAAATAAATATAGATTTAAAGGCATAATTAGCCTAAAATTTTATGTTGCTTGCAGAGTTGTAATCCAATGTTTCGGAGTCAGAAAGGATCAGTGCAAATGCAGGATGTCCATAAACAATCAAAAATCTTTTTTTTTTTTTTGCAGAATTTACGGTAAGTGTCGGCTATGAAAAAAACGAATATGTCTGATATTCTTCAAATATTTCCAGTTAAAGCATATTTTAGTAGAGTTAGTTTTTTTACTAGTAAATTAGTAAAGCTTCTATATTTTATTGAATAGGTCACTTGTACTATCGTAAAGAAAATTTGTTCTGGGTGGCAAGCTGGGACGCAGCTAGTCTCAAAATCTGTTTTATCTATTAACTTAACTAAAGTTTATGAGCTTAAAATTCAGTTCACTGAAATTTCGGAAGTTCTTTAGTACAGTGTAAGTGGTTTATAATTAAAACTTCTATTTTGACTTCAATTGCTACTGAAGAAACTTGAGACACAGTTAAATTTCAAGGTATACGATGTTATAACTCGAAGTGCCACCTATATTTTTGATGACCTCAAGTTTCTGAACGTGACAGATTTACTATTTACGGAATAGTTTTTTGAGGCGAACATACTTGCCCAGCACTGTCTAAAAGGACTTGCGAAAAATCTATTTTTTTAATTTTTTATAAATTCTAAGGCCTGGCCCGCAATTCGCTGCATTCAGAAGAACAAGAACACAGCGCAAAAAATATGGCATAAGCACGCATTTAGAAAATGTACATTGTTTGCATTTGCATATCACAGTATATGTTTCATTTTCTATGCATTTTAAGTGTATTTTTTGTACTACAGATTCAAATTTTCGAAATTGTTTCATACAAGTATATACGTGTTCCAGTATTAACGATTATTTCACCCAAAGAAAAGTAAGCGCTAAGCAGCAGCGCTTGCTTTACGGGTTTATTCATAGAATGTTACCTGTGTCCAAAGAATGACGATAAATCTCTATTACGTGCAAAAGTTTTTTCTTTTGGCATAAGAAAAATTATCCTATTTGATATACAGTCCCTTCGACATACATATACTGAGCTATTCCACTGCAACGACGAGCTGATAATCGCCCTCTAATCTCTAAGATATCAAAATAAATGGGCCTATCGAGATTTGCTTCGAGTGATTCCACGAATCGCAACAGCGAACGACGCTCTGTCGAGTCTTCGTCGCAGGATAGAAAGCCTTTGGGCGTGTGGACCCGGGGAACCGGACCGAGGCCTCAAGTTGTCCTGAAAGGAGGCACCAATAAACGTGGGAAAAGTTACGGTAAAAAGAGCCCACAAAGCTCTGAGAAAGATTCTGAAACAAGTAGCTCGAGAAGAACAGGTGCAGTTGTTGCTGGAGTTGCGTCTGGCGATGCAGGCGCAACTGAAAATGGTAAACAAGGTCTGACCGCTGTCGGTGACATTATCAGAAATATTTTAAGACCTGCCGAAGATCATAAAGGTGAGGAAGACGCAGGCGGAAGTGCTGGCGCAGGGAGTTCAGAAGAAGCTGAATGGTGCAAGGAGATGTCAAGAAAAGCAATCGATAACTTATTCAAAGCTCGTAGACAACACGAGGAGTTTTTAGCGCTACAAGAGGCAGCTATAAAAAAAGGTGACATTTGTAGAGATATGTTACGATTAGTGTCTGTTAATCAAGGTACATCGATCGTTAAGGCGATTGAGCTCAAAAAAAAAGAACGAGAGGAAATGACCGACATAGCGTTTATCTAGAACCGTAGACTAAAACCAAAACGGAAGCGAATGCGAACCGAAAAAGATATCTACGCCTCATAACATCACGGCATCACGTGACAAAACAAACATCGTAATGAACAGCGTAATATAAAGAAGACATTTTCATGAACGTCATTTTTTGCCCAATGTGATCCTGTTGGGCTCTATGAGGAAACTAGGATTCTAGAAAAAAAGGTTGTATGATTAGTAAAAGCTAACATTAAGATATGAACGTCTGCCCGAAGGATCATCTGGTAGTGAGAACAGGACTAAGTATGGTTACCCGAATGCAAAACGTACGGCTATTATAGGTTTATTAAACGTAGAAGGGGCTAGGATTGATGCTATTCATTTTTGAAGCGTCTTTAGACTAACCTGTTGAAGTAGAAACTGTTGAAGCAGTTACTTCGTAAAGCAGGAAATGTAGCCGAAAGTTAACAGTGCTGCGTAATAAATTTACGAACATTATTTTTTTCGACACTGCAAACCTAGCGAATATATAAGCTATTAGAGCTAAAAACAATGCGAACTCTGTCTCTTCTCCAAAAAATTCGACAGCGTCGTAAGAGAAGGCTCAATATGAGCAATCCGAAGTGGCAGAAAAAATGTATCGCCTTCTTATAGCTTCCATTTTTTTGTCGAGATCAAAATGCGAAATGCAAGATACAGCCATATACTGTTGAAGTCATCGTAGTACAGTTGAAGCGATGCCATAGGTTGCCAACAAACCGGACGTAACGTTGAGAACGTTTACGGCTGGCAAATGCATGCGGCACCTATTCCCATTTCTATCTTCAGAGAATAGCCAAAACAACACAGCTTCCCCGACAAGTCTTCTGTATAGCATTTTCTTCTGCTCTGCTCAATACTTAGCGAGAGCACTTTCTTACTTCTGATTAAATACGCAGATTTGGCAACACTAGTCCATATATATAACTCAAATTCCTTAACAGTGTTATTAAATTCACAAATCGAGGTGCAATATAATTATTTTTCTTACGTGACTCATAGAGCAACTTGATTTGACTACTTTCGCTCATTGCGTTCCATATAACAGTGAGCATTTTTTCTGCAGGTTAATTTGTGCCCAGAGATTTTCTATGACGTCTGTAACGTTACAGTGCTAGATCATCAACCCATATCTATTTACTTTTTTCCTTCTCCATTATCAATGTGAACTAAAGCTCATTTATATTGTTAGATAGATCACCCGCGTCACAAATAACAGGAGTTACTTATTATTTTGCGAGAGACCTATTTATAGAGCACGAACACTCCGTTATAAAAATTTAATGGTATTCTATTTACCAAAATGGTAAAATGAGAGACACTAAATAATCGTATATATTGGATAGCTTTTCTACCCTTACAAAACCGATGTGCGAGCATATGGCATCGGCTATTCGTTATGTGACGTATTATGATGTTGAATAAGGTATAATCATAAGCACCCTATAAAAGTCGAACGTTCACAAATTGTCATTCCATCTTAAGCAGCAATGAATCTTGTAATCTCTATTATGACCACATCATTTAAAATAAGGTTCACCAGCCTCTGAGGCTTCATACTTTGGCTTCATAGTTCCCTAGTAACTTCCCTATTCATTCTCTCGCGCCATAACTATAAATGATAATTAACCGAACTAAAGTGAAATTAATTTAAACATTGCTTCAATATGCAAGATATTTTAGTTGCTAGGACATTTTTCCACTGATTTAAGTCCCTTTTCAGGCTGATCGAAAACATATTGCCGAAAACTAGAGTTCCCATCTATCATGCCTATCGTGTTAAGTAACCTGAAGTGAGCTCGGTAACCGGCACAGAAAGCGTCTTTACTGTGCAGCAAGATAATTTTCTATATAATCGCTACTACGTTCTGCAGAGTAGGCTCTACTGGCAATCAGATATTCGTCTGAAATTGTGGGACTCGTACCCATTGAGCCCTGACCCCGTATACTTGGGCGTTGGTTTATATAGATTCACATATGATTTCAAATCAAAGCTTGCAGTGATGATTAGTGAATCTGCGTGAAACTTTGCCGATATAAACCCGTACAATGTACTATTAGGACAATTTACGCAATTTTTATGAGCAAAAAATCCAGATAGATCGATAGGCAGTCGATTAGGCTATCTGCTGAAACTCTACAGAGCGGCCCCTGAACATACTGAATAGTAGAACTAAGCAAAATGAGGACATTTGCTCCATTGAGAAAGAGATCCGCAGTGACGTACAGGGAGATGGTGACGCCGTCCGTTCAGACGCGACACGATACGTAAGTCACAACAGTCACCGTCGAACTGTGTAAGTAATTTTTTATCCAGCGAATTCGAAAGTCAAATGAATCTGTACCTGACCAATGACCTGTTGATTGGTTATTGTATGTAGAATCTTAACTGATCATCAATTTTGAGCAACGGCGACCGGGGTAGTAGTAAAGTCGATAGCTGTGAACCGTAACAATTTGCTGCCTTCAGAGTTGACTCGTACTTAATTGAGCGCTGCTGTTTCATATTTTCTGCACGGTGCTGCGTTACCTCTACATTACTTCGAATAGTTGGCTTTAGCCACCATTGAACATACTGTGTGTCCACGACCAGTTTCGAACTTAATCGCTGTTCCTATATTTAGTCAGCAAATGTGTTCTTGAGTGTTTATAAGTTTCGATTTGCATGCGGGATGAAACGCTACCTACGCCAACAGCTATAACCAATGCTCGCGGGAAATTGCGACCATGATGATAAATTTGTGATAATATATATCCTATTGCATCACGTTTACCTAACTACAGCTAGGAAATTGATAATTATTTCGCACTGTGCTTGGTAGGGGATCGTGAAGTTGAAAAAGCGAAATTAAATTAACACGACCGCGTCGACCAACCACGCCACCATTCAAGAAAATTATGCCGGTTATTTACTAAAGATTCTTTTATTCTGCTGTCCCTTATTAATATCAGTATCAATTATAGTCGCTTATGTTTTTGAAACGTATGGCCTGATAAAATTAAAATGGAATAACATAGGCCACTTATGCTTTTGTGCGGTACTTTGTATAAATAAAGAATCTTTTCTACTTTTGTGCAAATAGCTTAGTGATTCAATAAGGTTCAACGAAGCAAAATACTTGCCTTTCCCATATATGTGTGCTAGGAGCCAGCCTTCAAAACTGAGCTTAAGATCTCCCCTAGCACCTCAAAGTAAAAATTTTTGATTCAGGCACACCTTTACATTGTGTAGTATATGTCGTTGACGAAGCAGCTTTTCCAAAGAGAAAATGTTCAAAAGAACGGAGACAAAATGCTTAACTTCAAAATTTGTAATTAAGTTACGCTCGGTCGATAGAGGTGCTAACTTTCATCTTGACTTGAGATCTTGTTGTTTGTCGTAAAGATGTTCCAAAAATCATCTCTGAAGAACCTAGCGATCAGGGTTATCTTCGACAAATACAGCTACTTAAGTCTGTTTCTCTGTTTCAATTAAATTTAGCTGTTTATTAAACAAGATACATTTTTGCCGGCATCCTTTACACTTATCTACCTACATTGAAGTCAAATTTCAACTATCAAGTCACATATTATTCAAGCGTTGATAATAAATGTCGGCGATTTTATCTTCTTTCGCAGAAATGAAGTCTCGAAGTTGTAATTAACCTGGGTGTCTTTACGGTCAATAATTGGCATCGCCTTGACCAAATTATATTACCTAAACAGTGCATTTATTTATGCATTGTGACTAATTATGTTTCACCAGAATATCTAATCACATAGTATGGTTTGACTTTTCATATTATGAAAACAAAATATTCGCCAATTGCTTGAGCCCTGTATCGTTTTATTGCGATGGTGAGCAGTTCATCGATGTAATGGATCACCGTTTACCAAAAGGTACCCGTTCTTAGAAATTCGCAACATTATATGGTTCGATTCTCCAGCACTTCCGATGCTGTTAACATTTGCTTCCTAGTTTACACCGTCTCATGTGTTCTTAACGTTAGTGGGTAAGCACATTGCCACTACACCATCACGGGAAAGTAAACGTCGTAAGCTCACATCTATAATATGCCGGCATATGCTGAAATCAGAAGTTACCGCAGATAATATACCTTAACACCTAGCAATCATTCAATATTGATTTTTCATTCGATTGGATGTGGGGCGGAACATAATGCATTCCGTGGCAAATCAGTATGACCAAATTGGATCGTTCCAAGTTTCACGCCCGGTTCTTCTGTCATGACTGCGGTTTTGATTTTCAGTAAAATAAACCGCAGCCAGAAGATTATACAGCTTGAGAACATCATTTGTTCCTAAAATTTATTGAAACTTGTCTTTGGAAAAGTAGGTAATAAGCTGTTTGTGCTCTAACACAATTCTTTAATCAATACTCCTAAGATCTTTCAGCTTGTTTCCAACCTAGGGGCGCTAATATCATCGGTGTTAAGATGGTGTTTAGACTAAGTTTGTGCGAAAAGTAGCTATTTTTTGCCATTTTACTTTTATAGATATTACGTTGCCACACAAAGAGCGGCAGATACGAGCATATCACAGTTATAATTTCATAGAAACGGTATGCCTTAAGAGTCGTTCTTGCTTTTTGTTAGGGACAATGAGTTAACTGAAACTCTTTCAAACCAAAAACAGCCGCCGAATTTCGAATTCAAACACCAAATGGAGCCATTCTTTTAATCGCCATTAAAAATCGGAAGGTTAGAAAATACGATGAACGAGTTTTCCACTCTTGGCTCTTTTGACTTTTGGCTAACTTATATACGGCGGTGCTGATCACTAAGATGTCGATGGAACTGGCATTTCTTAGAACTACTATTTCATCAGTTGGATACGCTAGTGTGCAGCAAAAATTGAAATTAGTTTGTGCGAATTTTATTTGCTTTAAGCTATGAGATTCGTTCACCATTTCTAACATTGATCACAGTTTGTAAGTTTGAACTTAATCGAACCGAAGATAAAGCACGGATCTGCCTCTATAACTGTAGACGCGAGAAACATCGATAGACTAGTCTAGTATAAAGAAGTTTCTAATATAAAGAGAAGCGTGCTCAGTGTCCTAACTGTATAGCTGTCGGGATATAACGTAATTAGTACTGATTTTAGATCACTGTGTAGCCATGCAGCGGTCTTGTCTGAGCAGCTTTGTAAAGGGCTAGCGGATCACAATCGTTTGTCGAATGGTCTTCTGCCCCGTGTTTTTCAATGAAAACGAATTCATTGTTAATAGGGGATTTCTCTAGTTCGGTAGGACTCCCACTTACTAAACCCAAATTTCGTATTTTTAGATCTAGGCTTGAAACTGGTAGTACTTCAGAAAAAAAGGTACAACTTTTCTATCAATGTAACTTCTTCTACTGTTGTATCATATATGAAGGGGCAACGATAGCACTTCATCTTCAGTTTCGCACATCATCTGGATCACGAGCATTCACTCAACTATATGCCATTCTGTCCTCGCCTATTAAAGCAAATCTTGCCTCGGAGCACCAATTTTGTTCCACCGCTGCTGCAGACAATTCTCAAAATTTTTGCGATTTGTTGGATTAAATTCGTCTTTACCATTGTAGACATTTGCATCCATCAACTGCACATAAACAATCATCATCCGTAGCGCGAACTTGTAAAAAGAACTCTATCATTACTGGCATTAATTGTAATATTTGCACAGTAGTTCGGAAAAGCTTGCTCTTTCAAAAAACTGAGACACCTTTTCTTTGGAGTGAGAAAGCCCACGTACCCGGAATATTGTTCCCTGTACTAAGACAAAAAAAAGTACCGTTCATTCTGAAAAGGATATATATCGGAAATACAAAGCGATATAAGAAGGTAAACAAAATCTATTTTAGTCTGAGTCAACCTTTTCAAAGGACAGACATTTATATCTAGCGCAGACAAATTGTAAGGCTTATTTGATCATTTCTTTCGATTTTACTACCAATACTTGAAGACCCAAATTTCTATAGAGCTATCTTCAATCGTAGCTTTCAGCATTTGTTTCTGGTGTTTTTCGAAAATCTTGCTTGATCAACAGAAGTTGCTCCTTTGCTTATGACAGGCCCAAAGCGGTCATTCTTTAGGCTGGATATTAATGTCCATTTTCGACCCAATTCGGCCGCTGCAATAAAGTGTTCTTGTTGAAACTTCTTGCAAAAACACGAGAGCGAAATGGCTGCAAACCTAATTTTTTTTTTATCCAGACAACTGATGAATGGCTGCATAATACTTGCCTTGACGATGCGCCAAGCGTTACGTTTTGAAGAAAGTCAAAACAAATTCAATAGCGTTCTTAGCGTGTGAGCAGGCCAAACAACAATTAACCCAATAATGTTAATTAGTACAACTATCTAACCTATCATTATCGATGTGAGCTGTGAAAGGAAGCGATGTCGAGCGCCGCGGAAAACAATTGTTCTATTACGAAGTAGCACCGTAGATTGAATACAAATCATTCGAAGTCCTAGGTTGCAAGGTTCTCGATAGAGGAGAGCCGACTCGAAAAGTTCGAATTTAGACTCGGCCTTTACGAGTGTATGACGGAGATGCTGACTTGTTACAGCTCTGCTGCGACAACGGTTTTACGCGTATGCTACGTAAAGTCTACGGCGATCCTGCTGTATGATTCTTATCATGGCATTTAAGGCTCTACAGAAAGTAACTGATGTGTTTTTTACGCCTACCCTGTATTCGTCACAGACTTTGCCCGATCAACCCACATACTACGAACCTAGAAATTAACAAAGTTGTAAACTATAACTGTATTTTGTTTTGCTCCGGATTAGTAGGACGTGCCCACAAAGGGCTCGAGTTTATAGCAAATGGCCGTTTAACATTGTTATTATTATTACCAACAGAACTTTAATACAACATTAGAAAATGACCGTCATTATATTAAACTATACAATAAATAGCTGTTTAAACTTTTATCGCGCATACATCAGAGAAAACTTTTGTAAAATCGGCCTCGCTCCTTTATGTATAAATATTTTGTTACGATCCGTCTAAATAAAAGTAAATTGACTCTTTTCAAGTGACCATTACTTGTATTTTTTTGGAAGGATTGCTTGTATCATCAAAACACTTAACTATATTACTGCTTTCAAAACAGAAACAGAATCACATGTAAAAGTTCCTTTTTTCGGTCATATCGGTCACATAGTATATAGTTTTGATTAGACTCGAACCAACGACTCCCGGAGCTTCAGAATCAACTACGCCTATCTTCTCTGTATCCGGATACAGAGTACAGAGTAACTCATTAATTTATACTCCCATACAGAGCATTTTAAACAAAACACGTAGAGGGATAATGTATACCACGCGTTATCATAACAACTACAAAGGGCCAAGTCTGCGATCATTCCTAGCTTAAATGTCACCCTAAGCAAGAAAGATTTCTTGTGGGGCAGAACCTTAACGCAAGACCGAAGACGAAATTTCAAGTATTTGCGTGCAAGATAGCTGAGAGTGGAATAAAAAGGCAAAACATGTGTCGTCCCGAATGT